GACACACAGCGTCAGCCAGGGGCCGGCAGCGCCGCCATCACTCAGGACAGCAGAACGCTCACCGGCTGTGCGAGAAGAGCTCCAGCGCCACGGGGGGGGTCACCTCCAGAGGCTCCCAGGCCAGGTCCTGGTGGATGAGCTGCAGGGCTCCTCTGGTCAGAGAGCGCAGCGCCTCCTGGACACAAAGTCTACGTCAGACCGGAAATCCAGAAAAGCCCCAAACGACGGTTCGGCTGGAGAGCAGGAACGTTCCTCACTATTCCCAACTAACATTCAGACTCCAACGTTTCTCTGCAGGACGTTTGAAAAAGGAAGCGTTTCCAGCCCCTCCCCATGGCGTTTAAAAACACCCGCAGGCTGATCCTGCTCCCGTCTTACTCACCTCAGAGGGAGCCCACGAGTCCAGCCGAGGGTCCAGAGCCACGTCGCAGCAGAAGGCCCCGGAAACCACTGCAGGAGGCAGGAGAGAGGATTGGCTTAGCCACTGGACGGGCGGTCAGCTGCGGGCCCTGGGCTCTGGTTGTGCTCTCCTACCTGGCACCTCCGGCGTGGCGAGCAGCTCCACGCTGTAGTCGTCTTTGAAGGCCGTCTCCAGCACCTGTCCCAGCAGGGCGGCGCAGGACCGCCAGTAGGCCTGCCAGGGGGGGGGGTCAGATCACACAGTTCACACACAGATACACGTACAGAGGCTCCGTACGGCTTTAAAACGGTCACAGGATCTTCTGGTGGGAATCTGGTTTGGATCTGACCCTTCGGTCCAGCCTGGGCCTCTGGACCGGCTGAGAGCATCCAGCCCCACCAAAGTCTGCACCAGCACGGTCAGACGGCTCTGACCGTCAACCTTGACCTTAAGTCTTGGTCCAGCTTTCAGAGCACGTGTTTCAGAGGTTTAGGTCTAAAACCCGCCCCGCCCCTATGTGTTGGCCCTCTAAGCTCTCTGCTGTCTGAGCAGCGTTTGCTGAGTCAGCGCGTCGTCTCTGATGGGTGCAACCCCACAAACAAAAGAAAAACTTCTTATGTGTCGACTGTTTTGAACATATTTGAATAAAACTGCGGGAGGAAGTGCTCCAAATGTTTTGCGGGGCTTTCCCGGCTGACTTTGTGGCGGATACCTGGTTGGCCAGCGTTGGGTCGCTGTCTTTGAAGGTGAGCAGAGCGAGCGAGCAGGAAGCAGTGAGGGGCCGGTGGAGGGGCCACGGCTGCCCGTCCACCAGGGCCAGGACAGAGTTGTTCACGTGATGCTCGGTCAGATCTGAGAGAGACGGGAATGAATCCCAGAGCAACAAAGGGACTAGAGGAGTCTGTTTCCACTGTGACTCACGCCTGGCGCAGCTCAGCGGCGTGGACATCCCTCTGTTCATGATGAGCGTGGTGCCCTGCAGCCCCGGGCCCTGCAGGGCCACCTCCATCTTCTCCACGCGGGGGAACAGGGCCCTCTGCCGGGACTGCTCTCTGGAGAAGGCCGCGCTGCGCTGGCTGCGGATCTCTGCGGGCGAAGGGCGCCCGGCCGCTGCAGAGGCTGCAAACTCTGGGTGTGTGTGTGGGGGGGGGGGGGGGGGGGGGGGGGGCACAATTAACACAAAACCTTCAGATCAATTCGTTATTGGGATTACTCTTATTCAACAAGGCCTTCAAAAAGGTCATTCTCAGAGATGTGGGGGCTGTCCAGTGCTTTAAACTGCTCTCATACTTGGAGGGTGTCAATCTAGCTCCCCCCCCCCCCCACGAAGATTTTCAACAGTAACAAACCTATTCAATATCATAGCTGAACATGCCTATGCTTTTTTTTAGAACAGAAAATTGTACATTTTCCTTATCAAGCATTCACTTCTGCAAACACGCATGGGGTCCTCTACACACGTTCTCATACCAGCTTTGCCAACCGAAACAGCCAAAATTCACGTTCATAACAATTCCCATGTGTTGTGTCGGCTTTCTCTCGTCTTAATAATTCCGGGCTGAGGCTAGCAGACACCGCCTAGCGCTTAGCTTTCCTGCAAACAAAAATTTACTTACGGCGCTGAAAGACCCGGCACACGCTCCTGGAGTTCATTGCGACGAGCAGCTGAAAGTACGCATCAAATAAACAGTTAAAAAGGACGAAAAGTATCAAAAGGACAAATGTTTGTCAAGAACGCCAAACGCTGAAGGACGCCATGCCTCCTTCGCGTGCAACGTCGAATTACGTCCGGGGCGAGGGGTCAGTGAGCGAAGGTTCCGCTTTGCTGCTTACTGGTCAGCAGATGTCGCTGTTGGCGTCAAGTTTTTGTTAGAGAAGCCCCACAAAATGCTTTCAGTCCCTGTCTTGTTCTAATAATAAGGAATAATAAGGAGTGTGTGCGCGTTTAAACCTCCTCCATTAAATCTTCCACCGTGCTCCAGGGCAGCTTTTAATTGCCTCAGAAAGCAAAAAAGTGGCCCGTCAGCCTCAGCGACCTCCCAACTAGTCCTAGTCTTCATTGAATGGGTTGGTTTGGTTCATGCATGATTTAAAGAGTACCAACATTTAATATGTCGAGCAAAACGTGTCGATATTTAAGGATCAGTTATGGCAAAGTACTCATAAGTGCATTCTTTTCTTTATGAGTCATGAAAAAAAAAGGATAAAAAGCATACTCACCACTTTTGGAAGCATGGAACTCCCATACCAAATGGATGCTTTTCAAAGTCCTTATGTGAATCCCAAGTCTGGAGGGTTTCTTATGGTCGGAAGAATTTGAGAAATGCTCTTGAGATTTTTCTGGATCAGAACCAGCAGTAGGTACTGGCTCTAAGCAGCAGGGGGGGCTGCCGGGCCCGGAAATACCACAGCTGCATGACAAAAACCTCCAACATCATCCAGACTCTGGCCAAGATGTTTCCAGATGAATTTTTTGAAATGGGAAATTGGAGACTATAATATATGCAAACGTATGGACCCCTGGAGGTTTGAGATGATGACCGTTTTCTAATGTATACGGATTAAAAAGCCCAGAATAAATACACTCGACACACTTGTGCATAAAGTTTTATTTTTTGTTGAAAATACGTGTTTCTGACATCAATCCACTAACATCTGATGTGACTTAAGATAGATGAACTACACACTGACACCGATGTTCACTTCATACAATGTAACAAGGCATTTGTATCTGTAACGTGAAAAGACGACTGAATTACTGACTGATCGACCGGCTCGTTTATTGATTGATTGACTGATACTGTCTCTTTGGGTGAGATTGATTGTACTCAATGTCAGTGTGGCAGTACAGCTTCATGCACACATCATCCACAGTATGTCAGCATTTGGGATCTTCTGCGTGAATCTCCCGAAAGGTGCGGTTTTCTTTTTAGACATTCGTTCATCTTTTCATTCATTCGGAGTTAGGCGGGTCTGCTGTGAAATGAACTGCCAGTGCGACTCCTTCACAGTGGTGTTACTCATCTTTTTTAGATACTTAGTGATTGGTCTTGCACTGTCGAAAAAAGTCCTAAAAGTGCAAAAAGAAAAACACGAGCAGAAGAAAAAGAGAGACTAGTAAAAGGTCTGAGCACGCTGCCATCCCCGTTTGGACGTATGGCTGCTTTCCTAAAAGCGTTTTACACTGCGATCCTCTCAGTCGATGGCTTTGGCACCGCGCTGCTTTGGGGAAAGCCCCGGAAATTCAATCCTGAATAATCGGCAGGATGGTGACGAATGCTGGAGGTCAAAGTGTTGCTTTTTCTTTCAAGTGAAAATCCACTCTGTGTCAGAGAGGTGGCAAAAGGTTAAATGCAATCCCCCTTAAACTACTTTGTCCAACCCTGTCTCAGTGAGTGATTTCCTACGGTTCCCAAAAACTGCACTCGTCCAGAGGGCGGCCCATGTTTCATAGACACAGAATGCAGGTAGAAATATTAAGAACAAGAGTGGATTTTTTTTTCCTGTAACTTTCTCTTTGAACTGACTAACATGAATACATTTGCACTCTAATTTCTACAGTCCCCGCCCCCCCCTTACCCACCCCTCCATCCGGCTGCTACTGTATGCTGCAGGTGGGGCAGCAGGTCTCTCTCCGGTCAGGCAGAGGGCAGAAGTCCATCTGCCGGACGATCTCTGCGAATAGCTCGTCCACCATGGTCTTGCTCTTGGCCGAGGTCTCCATGAAGGGGCAGCCCCAGTCCTCGGCCAGCGCCTGGCCCTCGCTCGGGGACACCTCCCTCTCGTCCTCCAGGTCCACCTTGTTCCCCACCAGCACCACGGGCACCTGCTGGTACCTGCCAGGGGAGAGGGGAAACCGGAAAGGTTCTGTCTATTAACAGCACAAAATTCCTCATGCATTAGAAAGTGGGAGGGATGATAGGGAATCGACTCAGTGTGTGTGTGTGTGTGTGTGTGTGTTGTTGCTGGCCTACATACTCTATTTGTTTGATGCAGAAACAATAAGAGTGATGAACAATACACAGTAGAGCTACATTCAGCCCCGGCTTCCCAGGAGGCTCCCATAACTCCCCCGGTGCTCACCACCAGTAGGAGGTCTCATTAGGGAGAAAAAAACTGCCCCGGTTCCAGTGTGTTGGCGCCCGACTTATTTCTACACGCATTACACAGCATGCATCTGTATGCTATACAAGCTGTGTGTTTAATGGCTTCCCATTCTTGTTTAAAATCATTAGCTGTCCACTTAGCATGGTCTCCATCACGCAGCAGAGCCCGTCTCAGAGCATCCCGGGCTTTCATCCCCGGCCGTCCCGCTTCTCCCCGCCCGTCGATACGAGGAAACCAAGCCGAGGAGCGGAATGGTAGAAGTTAGTGAATAATTAAATAAAGCTAATGTCCCGCTCTCACGTCGGGTGATGTGAAAATTGGCTTTTGCAGCAATCGTATTTTCATGACATACATTAACAGTACATTTTAAAGCGTTGGGCCATTATGGGTCATCTCACCCAAATAAAGAGGAAAAATGAGAAATGTGGGAGTTAAAATCGAAATGAACGTTATCCTAAAAATCACTGAAATGTGTTTGGTGGGCTTAAAGTCCGGAGGGCTTCTCGGTGTGGAGTTTCTCTCTGTGGATTCCAGCGTCCACTCACTGACCGAAAAGGTCCACCGTGACTGGACACGTGGTCGTAGTTTTGCTTCCCGCCGCGTCCCAATTCACTTCACAGGACGGGCCTCCTGTGTTCCACTGTAATGAATCCTGATGCGACTTTATTCAAACGCCAGATATTTCATTTCCGTTACATGTCCTTCACAAAGTAGCTGCAGAGGGTAGATTTTCTCACTACAGGTAATGGCACAGAGCGCCTAATGGCCCCCACCATCACTCATTCCTAAGTGCTTTCAAGTCCAGCTTATTGATCTGCTGGTGCAATTGAGAAATTAGACTCTTATCTACAAATTGGTGGCCCGCTGCCACGCCGCTCAGCTGGGAAAAGAGCTTAGGCGTGGAAAAGAGCTGGCAAACATCTCGCTGAGCAAAAGAGGGCCGCGGGCGTGGAGGGGGGGGGCCGTGTGCAGGACACGAGTGGCCGGCTGAAGGATTCCTGAGCAACGCAGCTCCAATTTGCAAATGTCAAGAGTGCTGCTCAGGTGACTTCTGCCCTCTTCTTATCCCCAGCTCCAACAAATTCCGGAGGAGCCACTCCACGCGCAATCGAATATGAAGCGTCAGTTTTAGCGGGATTAGGGAATAAAACACACACAATTTAAGACAGTAAAACAGAGAAAATGCACTCAAGTGCCAAAGAATTCCGGCGTCTGGCCTGGTCCCCCTCAGCAGCTGCACTTAGCATCCAAACGGCAGCTGACCTCAGCAGGACAAGCATCTCGCATGCTCCCTGTGTTGGGAGAGCGGAGTCTGGAGGGTGTGAAGTGTGAACGCGGAGAGCGTCACACAGACAAATGCAATCTGACAGCTTTGCAGGAGAAACTCTATATATAACTCCAGAGACGGGGGCAGAGCCAGCTTCTCCACGGCGGGGTGGCCGGTTTGTGCGGAGCTCGTTTGTTTCAGCATCAGACCGTCTCTCCGGCTGAGGGGAGGCTGCTCAGCACAGCATGAAGGAACCTCGTCCCACAGGGATCTATAGGCCCGAGTCATGGATTATTGAAGAATGTGCCGGTCGGTGCACGGGCGTAGACACTAAAGTGCTTCGCTGTTGTTCAAGCTTCAGAGCTCATGCGTCTTTGTGCTGAATCTACTTGACCTGTCACACGTGGCTTTCCCACGACCATGTCAAATATATTCCCGATTTGGGACTCTGGTGCACCACGTTACAGGAAAAGTGTCCGGATCTGGGAGGAAGACGTAGTTAGGCTAACGTTTGGACTTTCCTGTAATGCTGAGAACGCACAGGCAGAAAAAGCTGCTGGAGCTCCCAGTGGCGCTGGGAAAAGAGGCTCAGCTGCAGGGTGGAAGGAGCCGAGAGCAGAGATGCCGAATCCTCACAATGGTCGTGGAATCTGGAACGACTCTAGCAACTTACAGAAAGAGCTGTAACTGGCAGTTAACTCTGCAGGGTGCTGTTCCACATGCTGGAAACATATAAACACACGTTCACCTCCCTCCCACGCACACACTAAAGAGCCAGTTTAAAACTAAACAAAAACACACGGCATCTAGATTTTCCATTTAGCTGGAAGCTGCAACACATTATTAGTTCACCTGCTGAGCTAAAATGGACGCAGTGACTTCACTTACCCGTTTTTACAAGCTTCACAGCACTGGCAAACACACAAGCAAATTCCAAAGCACCACGAAGCCTCCGAGCAGACGCCCCTTTGCTTCCCGCATCTGCTGTTAATTAATAGTTGGGGTGATTAGCGCGTGCAACAGACGGGCGAGGGTCTGCTGGCACCAGAACCCCAGCACACGCAGAAACCCCCGCTGGAGCTGCTGCTGGGCAGCTGACCCCCACGGCCTCCGGAGCGGCCATTCTGCAGCATCCCAAACACACGGAGCAGAAAGCAGGGAAAGGAACCCGGCTAAAAACATTCCTGTGACGGGCCGAGCGGGCCTGCGCCGCAGATGGAGGAGCCTTTTAAGAGTCTGTAACGATGAAACAGCAGGCTTCATTTTCACGTCTACTGGTGCAGCCCAGCTCCTCCAGATCAAAACATTAAGGAGAGCTCAGGTGGGACGGGCTCCAGAGCTCTGCCACCGGAAGGAAAAGGACACTAACTGGGAGACAACCCAAAGATGGAGCACCTGCTTTCTAACTTTTTGAACCCTCTGTGAAAAACTATTCCCGTGGGAGCTGTGATCACAATCGTGCTTTTTTACATCCGCAGCAGCGACTGGAGGCGATAGTCATCTAAATCATCTAAATGTGGGAAACTCCACATACACATCAAAGTATTTTTGTAGCCCCTCGGGGGTTTCAAGATGAGTCAGATAGTTTGGGAGATAATTAACGAGGTAGAAAACTCTGGGGTTTTTTCATTTATCGTGCTCATCTGTCCTCTAAAGAAACTAAAATCGTGTCTCCTCTGAGCTGCTTTCAGACGGCTAGAGGAACGTCCAACGCCGGTTGTCCGTCAGAGTGACAGCTACACTGGACTGGAAAAGTGTTTTCAGATGTGTGAGAGCTGCCAGACAGCTACAAGCCACTTCTTAATATGATCGATGGTAATGCATGTGAAAACCCTGAGGCCAGCAAGGTGCAGATTTGAGAATTTGGAGCACTTTGAGGCAGCAGGAACGGGCACTCTACCGGGGGCGGGCCTTTTGAACAACTTCCTGACGGCAAAGGCTAAAAGCCCCGGGTTCTGAAGTTGCTTTGTACCTACAGCAAAGTCCCTCCTGGGATGTGAAGTCTTGGTCTCTCCGCCCTGTCGGGGGGGCGTGACGGTCACCTCCCGCCATTAGACACAGCATCAGTCCAGCGTGAACGCCGGCTCCGTTGCTTTGAACGTCCTCTGACGGGACTAACAACCTTTACACGCAAAGAGGCCATTAGATTGCGGGGGAAGGCTACACCCAGATGTTTTTCTCAGATAACAGCTTAAACGGGGTGTATCTGATCAGTCTGTGCTATGCCGGACACACAGGGAGCCCCCCCCCCCCCCCCCGCTCACGCCCTCCACACCCAGAGCCGCTCTACACGACTCCCTAATGGAGGCCTGATGTCTTCTTGGCTTCCAACCCAACACAATCCCATTAAGCTCCGGTCAGCGGGCCCGGGCTACATCTCTGCCTGGAGCTGCTTCTCTCTGCTGCTGGCTCAGCAACAGGTTTGGGAGGAGGGAGGACGGCTAACGGAGGCGGGGAGCGTCTCGCTCCTGCTGGTGGTCATTCCCATCTTCTCTTTTCTGTTCTGCAGCTCCACGCGCACAGAAACCGGCCCCTCAGAGCAAAGGGAATTCACAGTGTGAAAGGTTACCAGAGACGCTGCAGGATGAGGGGGGGGGGGGGGGGGCGGC